CACAGTAAAACTTCAGTTAAGTTCATAAATCAATGAAAGCCATGGGCCATTTGTTCCCACCAATAATGTAAAAGTTAAAGGCAGAATTAGAAGAATGACCACCTACTCCTGTTAATTAACTCTTCCTTAGGGTTAATTAGGGGGTTCTATTTCATAATATAGTCAGAATTAGGACATTATATAGTGATGTCACACCATAATTGTGTACTTAATGTATGTAAACTCAGTTATCCTTGATGGGATCAAGAAGAAATAGTCTAACCAGATTTAATTCTCTTCTATTTCAATCAATGAGTGTTTGACCCAGAGTAAAGGAGATGCCGAATGTCAAGTTGATGTCTCCTCAATTGGTCTTAGTCTAACATACATGAGGTATCTTCTTATGCATAGCATCATGCCAACTTGTGAACATTTGTAATTATTAAGAAATCATGTGGGTCCTGCAGGACTCATACATGTAAAATATTTACAGTATTCAAGGTTCATCTGAAGAAATAACAATCTATTCCAAGCAAAGAAGAAAGTGTGTGTCTACGGTTAATTTTTGTGTGTGTTCTTATTTTAGGACAATTGAAAAAATGTTTTGAGAGTGATTCTGGACTCGGATGAGTTCCTTTCGTTTTGAAGAAAACGTGTTTGTGCAGTTCAAGCTCCCTGTCTGGCACTGTCAGACACCAGAAAGGACGCGGGCTCGGGCTCCGCAGAGGCAGCTGTACTCACGGTCGGCGTCGGCAAACACGATGCAGGGGCTCTTCCCTCCCAGCTCCAGGCTGACCCTTTTCAGGTTGCTGTTCCCAGCAGCTGCTTTGATTAGTTTGCCAACCTGAAATGCAGTGTTGCCAAGGGGAAGCCTTACTATGTGCTCATGAGGCAGGTTTTACATTCTACATTTGTCTGAGGTTTGTGGCCTTATTAAATTTTATTTGAAAGAAACACTGACTCATTTTTTCCATAAATTGCACCTTGAGATTCTAAAAGGTCCTCCACATGAGTCTGTAGACAGAAACACAAATCAGAAAAATGTTCACGGGCAACACAGCAGAGACATAGAACATGATAGTGGTCTTGATGTATGTGATCAGGTATAATTTCCTTTCCATTTTCACTGGAGCTTCACCTCGAGATGGAGCAGGGCACTGTAATGCCCCTTAAGTTACTCATGTGCCTCTTCCGGCATTCATAGAGCTCTATCGAGCCAATGGCATATTCTCCACATTTTGAACCTTATCTTTCCTCTTTTCGTGTACCCATCCCCAATGGGATCTCATCTAGTCATGCATTTAGTGAGGTTCAGCTCAGATTTTGGCATCTCCTAGAACTGAACTCATGACCTTATGCTTGCCAGGCAGGCACTGTACCACTGAGCTATAGGCCTGCCCCTAGAGTCCTTTCTTGATG